AGTCATGGGGGAGGTTGTTGTTGTTGTTCTTTTTTTTTTTTTTTTTTTTTTTGCCTTTTTATCTTATTATTTGCCACATACAGCTGACAGGTAAGTGCCAGGCTCCCAGTTTTTTGTGCCAAATGCCTCATTTTCATGGGGAATGTCTGTGTATCCTCCCAGACACTGCAGCTGCTAGAGTAAGCTTGAAATTGCCCAGCTTAAGCTCAAAAGAACAGCAGGTGTGGTTAGCGGTCTTTCTGATGCCCAGAGTTTGATGCAGGCTGTAGAAAAGTAACAAAAAAGCAGAATAAATACTAGAATTATCAACTGCCACTGTGTTGCGCGCTGCTGGAGCATGACGTCTACCATGATCTGCCTGGTGATTTCACTGTAGATAAGGTATTATTGCAACATGTAGCCCAGATTAGTAAACTGGAAAATAATTCTTGAGATATGTAGAACCGATTGGATTAGCAGCCAATGAGCCCTGGCTTCAGGTCTTGGCCAGAGAGCTTGAATTTAGAGCAAAATGAATATGAAGGGACACTGGAGCAGGTTCAGCACTGGGTTAATAAGGAGGTTAAACCAACCCTGGGATTTTTATCATGGGTTAACCAACTGGATTAAACAATTCTTTAGTTTTAGTGAAGGGGCACACGGGAGCTGAGCATGTCTGTAAGAGAAGGAGCTAGGAAGTGCTTTTCTCCAAGGTGGGCTGGGTTCCTGCTGTTCCTTAAAAGGCCACATTAAGATGGTTTAAAGCCCATCCCAATCTGTTACTTGTCTGTCAGCCTCTAGGCTTAGCTCAAATTCTGCAAGTTACTTTCTAAAGGTGCCTGCTTTTCTAGTTCAGTAGATGCAAGAAGGATGGAAATAGGTCCTCTGGATATGGCCTTGTGCTTATATTCTCTCACTATGCTTCCATAAGGAAACAAATGTGAGGGAAAAACAGCTTTTCAAATAGCAGGATGGTTTGACCTGCACTTTTAAAAACTAAAATAAAGGCCTTGTCTTTGCTATTTTAGTTAGAAACACTTTTCTTCAGGGTGAGCTTAAGGTAAGAGCAGTGTTTTGTTTGGGGATTCTTTTTTATTTTTATTCCTTTTTTCTGATAGAAAAAGATACAACTGTTGGTTTTCCCTATCTTTCTTTGAAAGACTCTATAGGAGAAGATGCCTGTATGTGTGCTTTGCTATTTCAAAGGTTTCTTAATAGGGTAGGTTGGAGATTTTGAGTTAGAATCACTTTATTTGAGTTAGTTGAAGGCTTTTTTTTTTTTTTTTTTTCCTCTCCTTCCGGGTATAAATAGAAGTGTAAACTTCCTCAGTACCACAGACTTTCCTACTCTGCTGTGCCATGGCTGTCAGATGCTCTTCGGGTTGTATGGAGGCCATTCAGAATGAAATGGAGGAAACAACTCATTTTTAGTATGAATTCCTCAACAAGTGTCTGAACATCTGTAACGACCCAGTGTGAACTATACCAGTCCAGCCCTTGTAATCCTGGTATACACAGAGGGAGTAACTGGCACATCATGGAGAGCTAGTCCCGTTCCAAAACACGTAAGCTGTTTGGGAAGAGGTGATTCTCCTCCAGCTCTTCCTACAGGCAGGATCTTTGCATGAAGCAGGACACTGGAAAAATAGGAAACTCAAGACGGAAAAGGTTCTTGGAGCGCTTTCTTAATAGGTTTGTTTGATTTTCAAATGCTTCCGTGTGCCTTTTTCTTCAAGGTAGCAAGAGAAAGCGCGGAAGGCTGGGCAGGAAGGCTTCTCTTGGATCAAAGGTGATAGTTCACATACGGGTGAAAAAAGTTACTTCTATCACAGACTGTGTTTATAAAACCTTGGTGGGTCACGAGACCGCCTCCCAGCAGTTAGTGTGTTTTATTTTACCTGAGAGCTGCAGGAAGAAAATATTGACAGTCAGGATGAGTAAAGGGATATACGTTATGATGTAATATAAGGCAAGAATAAAACAAATAATTTAAAAAGAAAGCTGTTTGCCGTGTTCCCTAGCTGCTTCTTGGGGTGAGGCACATGAAGCCATTGCGCTAACCTGGTGGTACTGCGCATATTACTTCCATCGGGGGAGTATATTTTCATTATGAGCAAATATTTTTGCTTGTTAAATGGTCTTAGGATAACATTTAGTGGAAGCCAGCACAGAAATCAGCTGATAACGTGGGACATTTTCACAGTATGGGAACAAGTGCCTAGGTGTTCCCCTGTGAGTTTATTTTTGCAAACACGGGCAGAAGGTATCTACCTTTAAATATCCAGGCACTGTATAATTAACACCAATTAATAATTATTAACTACCCTCCAAAATATTGTATTTGAAATAAATTTACTTGTTTCTCTGCTGTGGCAATTTTGCTAAGAGCAGTGCATTCTTTGGAAAGGGGTTTGGATATCACTGGCACTTGTTGGTGGAAAGGGGAAACTATTTTTTTGCTCTTTTCCTAGAGCTGTTTGTGATAAGAAGCATGAAGCTGCAGTTTTTTTCCTGGCACTAAAATGATTGAACTTTGCAATTTCTGTAGCCAGACTTCACAATAAATTGGTAGACGGCATCAGAAATACAGCATAGATAGCAATATACCTTCTACCTTATTTTTCTGATGTACCTTGTGCTCTCACTTTTGAAGAGCTGGGATTTTGGTACCTAATCAGTCTAGCAAAGACTGAGTCTTTATTCCTAGTTCTGCAAAGATCCTTGACCATTTCCTTGGCTCTCAGTCCAGGTGTGCTTATATTTGCAGAGCCCTTAGCAGTGGGGAGGTATCTGTACTTTTAGTCTTTTAGGCTCTGTGTGGTAGATAAACAACAACTGAACTCGTTTATGAATGTGTGTGTGTACAGTAATCTTGTTGGATGTAAAGCAACATGTGCTTGTTAGTCCCTTTGTGGTGAAAGGGACTGAGGTCTTGATTCCCTTCTACGCTTGCTGTAGGTGAAAATTGCTTTAAGAAATGGTTAAGGGGGAGATTGATGCCACATTTGGATGTTTTTGATCCGTTTAAAACCTAGTGACAGCAGAACAGACTTGGATTGGTCTGTATGTCTCTAAAACTTGGGGTCTGGATTTATTTCCAAAGCAAATTATTGTAGTGTGTGTGTCGTTCGCACAATTGGCAGCAGCTTTCCGAGACCACCTCGTAGACAGCAAGGAAGCAAGAAAGGTGACTTATGGGGGAGTTTGTGCACGTGCATTCCCAGCCATTCACCTCGTGTCTGGATGCCGTTGGTTATGTTCAGGTTCTAAATACAGTAACGCTGCATTTAGACACACGTGTGTATTTAAAACACACTTTAATTGGCCTTGCTCTTATTTCTTGCCGGCTGTGAAACAGCAGCCTGGGGCAACAAAACCTATTTTAGTGGCGTGCTGGTGATTAGCACAACGCTTGGGAGACTGTAAAAGTCGAGGAGTGCAGTGCAGCTCAGAAACTTTAATAGGCAGTACCTTAAACACTTAGTTTACTAAGTGCTCTCTTAGCTGTGTTTATATGATGAGGTGTTTAATTTGCTGTTAGTGAGTTTGTCCTGGTGCCTTGTTGCCCAAATATTAGCCCTGGAACGGAAGCGCTGGAAATCCTTGACCGTTGGAGACTGCCATTAAGCACATTTTGTTGATCTCTATTTCTTTTCCAGCACGGGAGAAGTGAGCTTTATTTTTATTATTTTTTTTCCCGCCCCTCTAGCCTGCCTTGTTATTAATA